GTGTCGCGAGTTAAGTAACTGACTCGTCGAGTCGGGGAGACTGACTCGGCGAGTCTGGTCTGGGTTGAGAAAGCCCTAATTTCGGGACTTATACCCTATTTAAGCATCTCATTCTCCTTTTATCATCCTCATTTGTAGCCCCCATTGTCCAGAAGCTATTCCACGAGACCTTAGTGCTCTCTTTGAGTGTGTGAGCCATTGTTGAAGAGTTGGAGTGTTCTTGAAGCCTAGAAGGAGAATAAGGAGTTGAGGGTTCAAGAGGAAGGTTGTGGATCTAGAAGATTCATCTCTTTAGCTGCTCATTTTGGTAATCAAGTTCCTTCCTTGCCTTGTTAATTGTTGGATCATTTCATGTCCCTCTTTATGATATTTTGGACCAAGTATGATACATTTCGGGTTTGGACGTCCCCAAGTTGAATCCCTTCAACTCCAGTTGTGTCTTGGCCCAAAGAGTCATAAAGTATCAGCCTTGAGAGTGTAGGTGATGCATGGTTGTCTTAAACCCTAGTTTGTGGTGTGTTTAGCCTAGATCTCCTTAGCTACACGTAAAGTTTGCAACTTTACGTGAGGAATAGGCCTTGGAAGAATGGATCTACAGTTTGGAGCCCCTGCATGACTCAAAAAGATTCTAAATATATGAAAGACTGAATAGACTCGCGAGTCCTTCGAGTGGACTCGGCAAATAGCATGAAGATTAGGAGGAACTCGACGAGTTGGATGAGCAACTCGGCGAGTCTGTTGAAGTTTGCCATGGACTCGGCGAGTCAGGTCGCGAAATCTCGAACCCTTCGAGGTAAGAATCAAATCAGTGAGTCGGGTGGAGACTCAGTGAGTTGGACAGGACAGGACTCGGAAATCGGTCGACTCGGCGAGTCATGGTCTGACTCAGCGAGTCGAGTCGCTAATGGAAGGACTCTGAGCGTGTGAACTCGGCGAGTCAGTAGGCAGACTCGGCGAGTAGGGTTGACCTGGAAGGTTGACCTTGAACAGGACTTTGACTTTGACCAGAGTTGACTTAGTTGACTTTCGCAAGACAGTTAGACTAAGTGTTATATTAATATTGGTAGCTCGGGGAGCTAGTGGAACTGCAATTCAGAGAGTTATCGGGCAGCAGCTAGAGGGGTATCAGAAAGTGCAGGTGAGTTTCCCTTTGTGTGAATGGGTCTAAGGCCACAATGCCGGCCCATGTAGTTATGAGTAGAAGACCCGAGGGTTAGCCCTAGGCATAATATGCTAGTATGATATTCAGGACGAGGTCCAATGATAGCGGGCGGGTGCCCAAGGAATGGTTTATATGATAGTTTATACTTGTTGTCTGTGTGATACATGTATGTGCCTGGTAGGGAGGTGAGTGTGGGCGAGGTCCCGTATCTCACTAATAGCAGAGTGTGGATGGTGTTCCACATCTTATTAGCAGCAGTTCAGGGGCGAGGCCCAAGTTAGAGAAAAAGTGAGTGTGGGTTGGGCCTGTATCTCACTATCAGTAGGAGCATGGACGGGGTTCCATGACTCATCAGTAGCAGGACAAGGGCGAGGCCTCAGGACATGATTTATTAGTACATGTTAGTTTATGTGTTGTGACATGCTTATGTGTTAGTATATACTAGCGGGCGAGGCCCAGTGACAGGCGAGGCCTAAGTGAAACAGATCTGTATCTGAGCGGGGTTCGAAGCCAGGCGAGGCCTGGAGCGGCGGGGCCCAAGATAGGGGAGAGGCCCAGAATAGCGGGCGTAGCCCAATATGTGCAGTATGTGGTTATGCATGGTATGTGGTAGGTTGGGGAACTCACTAAGCTTCGTGCTTACGGTTTTCAGTTTTGGTTTCAGGTACTTCCGGTAGCGGAGGGAAGAGCTCGGGGTGATCGCATGGCACACACTATAGATTAGACAACCTGGGAATGTTTTACTCTGATAATGAAAATACGTTTTGGAATTAATACTCTGATTATGTTATGGATTGCTAAATGTGTTTTAAGTAATGTTTTATAAAAGAAATTTTTAGTCTTGAAAATTGGGACGTTACAGTTATGGTGTTGGGCCTTAGGCATTGGCCCAATTAGATTAGGGGTAGAATGATCAATTTACCTTAATAAGGATTATTAGTTTTTGATTAAGTGTTATTGTGGTAATGATAGCTTGGGGGAGTCGTCGGAGCTACTGCTAGGGATTTTTATGTGAGATTCTGGATTCAGCTTTGTGAGGTGAGTTACCTTCTTGTATGAGTGGGTTGAAGGCACCAATGTCGGCACACTAGTAGTTGTTTATAGTAGAGAACTAGAGATGATTGTCTTTGTGATAATTTTCTGGTATGCCACTATTTGTTATGATTTATGTGCTTATTGCTATGTTATTATGTGGTAGTGGTAGGGGTGAAACAGTCCCTGTTATCGGTTGAAATAAATCGGAGGGTAGGTCGGGCACCCAGATATGTAGGGATGAGCAAAAGAACCGAACCGGTCGGAACCGGCCCGAACCGGACCGGAACCGGGAACCGGCTTCAGCCAAAATTAAGAACCGAACCGGCCCGGCGGTTCTACCGGTTCCCGGTTCCTACCGGTTCTTGTCGTGTCTTCAAATGTTGGAACCGATCCTTGAAAAATAGCATCATACGGTTCCGGTTTTTGCCGGTTCTACCGGTTTTTGCCGGTTCTGGTTATATCGGTTCCGGTTCCTACCGGTTTCCGGTTCCAAAAATCCACAAAAATAATGTCCCGGTCCCGGCCCGACCGGTTCCATCGGGTTCCGGTTCCGGTTCCGGTACCGGTTCCGGCCGGTTCCCCGGTCCATATGCTCATCCCTACAGATATGTATGGTAGGGTAGGTCGGGCACCCAGATATGCTTAATAGGGAAGTTCGGGCACCCAGATATGCCTGGCAATATATGATTATGCGTTATGATGGGGGAACTCACTAAGCTTTGTGCTTATGGTTTTCAGTTTTGATTTCGGGTACCTCTTCTTCGAAGGGAAAGAAGTCGACATTATTGCAACGTATCGCACCATGGTTTCCGCAGATGATATTCTTAGGAGATATACTATGATGATGTTTTATTGTGACATGCTTGATTATTGACATTTTGGTTTTGTTATGGAATAACATGATGGATGTTTTTATACTAATGGTTTCTTTATTACTTATTTAAAAATGAATTTTTTGGTCTTAAATTTTGGGATGTTACAACTAACATATCTTCCCACAACACAAAGCAACTTACCAGTAACATACCCTTTCAAGAAGCAACCATCAATTCCAATCACCTTCCTGCACCCTTCTAACCACCCCTTCTTTACACCATCAAAACAAACATAATACTTACTAAAGTGATTCGTTTCATCTGGGATTGTAAGAACATCCATGCTGACTGTTGAACAAGGGTTGGATCTTTTAATTTCCTCTACATAAGACCAGAGCTTAGCATAATGCTCAATAAGGGCACCTTCAATAATATTCATAGTATACTATTTTCATCACTTTCTTCATCGAACCAGTCCTCAAATCCTCCCCAATATGATCTAAATACAGGTCTATTGGCCTTTCAAGTGATTGATAAGCAACATCGATAAACATTTGATAATCCATTTCGTTGGCTATTACCCTAAGACCATTTGCCATAGTAAGATCACATGTTGAGTAATAAAGTTTCTCAAAAAGTTCTCCAACAAACCTTTCTAGAAATTCACAACATCCATGTAAATCCATTTCAAAGAAATCATGATCCGCAAACATGAATGTATCACCTCCAGTATATCTATGTGGGTGTCTTGTAAAAACACCGTTATAGTGCAAATGCACTTTCAAGAAAATAGGGTATGGGATCGCCATGAACTTTAACTAGAAAAGAACCACATGAACTTTAACTACAAAAGAACCCTAGAATCTTGAACACTTCAGCACGATTTTGATAAACGGCTGGAGTAAAGCCATTTTTTAAACAGTTATACGAAGGTGTTGACGTGTCATTGATGAAATTTTATTTAATTGAAGAAATCTAAAGCCTAAAGGCCACATCACATTTAGTTACCGGAAAACCGACTTTCATGGTATAAATGACAAGTAATTTGTCACTTTAGTGAGGTAAGGGGTACAAAATTAGTAAAAGGACCTTTTAAAACCAAATGAAAAACATCATTGTGCTTTTATGTCAATAACCGTTTTAGTAACATCGTGTATATTCATGTTTATTTTGTACTTTATATTATTATAAGCATTAAATATGTTTGTAAGCACACTTTTTAACCATAATCCCATGAATATTACTATTGATGCTCCTCTCGTAACCTTATGATCATTTACTACCTTGATTAACTATCCTATGCAAGTGGATTTTTTTAACTGAACACAATTAACCGGGCCCCTTTCAAAATGGCTATCAACTTGGACAGTTGATTCCCATTTTTTCACAAAAAAAAAAAAAAAAAAAATTATAAATTCTCTCAACTTTATAAAACACTTTACGTGGAACGAGATTTTGATATCCTAAAAATTCATTGAGCTATACAGTTCGACTTTAGAACAATTAGAAATATAATATGCAATTGTACTATTACACAGTCTGACTTTAAAACACGAATGTCAATTGACAAAACGATCTTCCAGCAAGTGAATAAGGTGTAGAAGTAAACGAAAAAACTCTTTCAGGATTTGCATTACAAAAAAACCCACAGCAACCTTTTATTGGATCTCATGGAATATATTGTACCCAACCTGAACAACTACTTATACTTTTTCATTTTACTTTTGATATTTATTTATTACCACACCATAGAAATGCAAACTAAATACTAACTGACTTGACTACTTAAACCTAGAAATAAAACAGATAAAACTTCCCATCAACCAGAGGATTACAATCTAAGAACTTCAACCCTCGGTCCTAATTGCTTTAACACATCATGTCACGCCTAATATGGCACTTCATTTTCAACAGAATTTGTAAGTATATATGTACGAACTTGATTAATGATTTCAATGGCTTTCTTAATACATTAACTAAAAAACTCCTTCTATCTCAAGTTTCTATCATTATCTGTATCATCTTTGATAGATGCTTTTACAGTCTAGGACTCTTTAACATAATAATTGCATCATGATTGAGATTGACTAAGATGTTGCCTTAATAATCTTAATCTAACTATCAATAATTTAATATCATATTATCACTTTCAATACACACATCTAAACACCCTGCAGACAAAAAGTATCTCATTCATTCAAGAGAATCTATAAGCATAGACAGACAGTTGAGGGTAACTGGTGTTATGAAGCAAATACACAACTCTTTAGGTAAAACGATTAAAACTAAAACCAAAATATCAACAAATCCTTCCTTGCAAATTCAAGTAACAGCAGATACATCATGTTTTTCACATAGTGGCTTCTTCAGGATCAGTTTCAATTGGCACCTGAGGCATGTTATTCCCACCTCTCAACCTTGAGGACACGTTGTCAATTGCAGAATTAAGCTGGCTTATTTTAGCATTCAGAGTCTGCCTCGTTTTCTGCAATTTTATTTTATAATAAAACAAATAAGTATAAGGAAACAAGGTTGATACACAATTCACGCATTAAAGGAAACTAAACACACCTCTAGACCTTCATCATAGTATATTGGCCGTTTTGCCCTCCTGAATCCATATTCATCTTCATTCAACAGAGATCTTCTTATCTAGTTAGTCATTAAAAAAAATTAAGACAATGAGGACCTCAAATATTTATTATTATTATTAGGCATGAGTTTAGTTGACTGTTTGACCTGTGGAGCAAATATGTATGCAAGAGTCCCGCATAATGCACCCCCCAAAAGGAAACCAGCAACAAAGTCACCACCACCTCCACCACTACGATCACTGAAGGATAAAACCCAAAATATAAAAATATAAAAAAGAAATTATAAAGAGATAAAGTTGCAAAAGTTTTTACTAAGTATTCAAACCGTATTTTTGTCTTTTACGAAAAGGGGAAGGAATGGAATTGGAATCCCTCAACAAAGTGATGGAAAGTTAAAAATCCTCATACGAGGTAATCTTTCAATTTCGATGGAATCAATTCATATCCAATGACAAATAAAGACGATCCATATATTTTGTTATTAGCAAACGCACAGGGTGACAAGTTTTGTCGTGTTTGGACATAGATATTATTAAGTGAAATTTAATACAAATACCATAAGAGGGACAAAAGGTTATCTTACTTGTATTCTGCAGAAATCGCCAAATTTCGCCGAGTTTTTTGTTGATTAGACTTCCTTTGATGTGTGAGAGTAATTGTGTTACCATAAAAGGAGGAATTCCCAGACCAATTTCCATGTCCCTTCAGATTCCCTCGAACTGCATGGTGACAATATATCATCACATCATCATCAGTAAAAAGTAAAAACACAAGATACCAATTTCCATTGACTTCCAACCTTCCACTCTATAATCTTCCACAAAACTCACTGATTCTTACAATTTGATTAGTGAAGAAGGATCGATGATGAGGAGCACCAATTAGATTAGAAACTCATTAAGACAAGTGAGCTTGAAGAAACTCATTGAATCAACCAAATCAAAAGACAAGTTATTGGAATTGAATGAAGAAAATCTTTATGATGTGTTTGTTAGTAGGCTGATCAAAAGAAGAAAGGGGATATACAAAGAGGGAACGCAATTTGGCTAATGCTCATGAAGAAACGAAAGAAGGTTCTTCACATCTCTCCATGGCTATTGGACTTGAAGAGAGAAAATCAAGCTTTAAAAGGTCATTCTTTTTCAAATTCACCTCTAGTACAACACAGTTTTCTAAACAGCGCCCAAAAACAGGTTAATCCAGCTCCCCGATCTTTTAATTTAACAAAGAATTATAATTTTACTGATTTTATGAACTAGATATTCATTTATCGATCACACAAACAAAATAGGTGATAAACTAGGAATTCGAACAAAAACAAATAGGAATTGATTCGCTTATACAGATATCTATCTTTCTTGATCTTGAACTGGAGCAGAAAATCAATAACCCGAGAGAGAGAGAGAAGAGAGAGAGAGAGAGAGAGAGGGCTATATCATTTAGGGCATGAAATTGTTGGGAACAAGAAAAAAATCTTTACCCGTGGATATCAAAAGCAATTATTACAAAAATCATATCATGCTCATGTCATCGTGTAAAAGAAAAAGATTCAGCAAGAAAGTGGTCCTCCGCTCTCTAGAACATAAAACCCTGGAAATCTTGCAGGTAATGATAGATAAAAGATTGTAGAAATGAGTCAAATTACCATTGATTGAAGCAGGTGCGACGATGCTGCTTGTAGCCATGAGTAGATGGATCGATACCGATGAACAATTGAGATTTGGGTGATCAAGAAAAAAACAAATGGGGTTAAGAAACAGCCAGCCAAGCGGAGGTTTTTTTGGCAGTGAGAAGTGAGCAAGAGCCAAGAGATAACCCAATTAATGGTTTGGTGGAGAAGGGTAAAAGAGGGAATTCAGAACAAAATGGGGTTCCTTGGTAACTCCGCTACCATTTACTGCCAAAAAAATAAAACCTTGGTTCTATCGGAAAAAAGATAATCTCCCTGTCTTCTTTAAAAAAAAAAAAAAAAAAAAATTGGTATTTTGGTTCAGGCCTATAATATTTTATAATTCCGTCCATTTTATGATTGTTATAAAATTCTATTTTTTTTCCCATATGTTATACTACGTAAATATGAAATCATGCGGATATTCGATCCATGGCAATTTAATAAATTGTATGTATGGGAATTTAATAAATTGTATGTCATTTCCCACTAAATTCGATACTCTATAAATGTCATCCGATTTCGAACCTAATTACACAATTGTAAACATTTTCAGGGGTTTCGACTTTCGATTGCATTGCTCGGGCCACGAGGCAGCTAGACTAGTTGCCAACAAACAAATTATTCACATGTGATGTTCAATGATCTTGACTTTTTTTGGTGTATTCATATATCTTCATTCCCAAAAGAAGGGATTCTAGGGTTGTGATTCTTAGAAGATGCCAACACATGAACCATGTGATAGTGAAACCTTTAAAACGTCTCCATCTTTACTAAATGCATTTTTAAACTTGAACGGTTGAACCATATTTGCATCTTTACAAATTTAGATTTTTTTTTTTTTCATTTGCTTTATGCATGCTTTCGATATGTTCATCATCGTCTTCATAGGTTTCATTTTTGGATTTTGGTTTGCTGCGACTGAGAGTTTGGTGGTGAAGGAAGTAGAGTTGAGGGTGAACCTGTAGAGAAAAAGACAACAATAACACTCATGACCAAAAAACAAAAGTCGTGATGAAGAACATCATTCATAACATATTCGATCTTCCAAAAATGGATAAAATCTATAATTATAAAAATAATATCACGGTCATAAGCCAAATCACTAAACCAATGATATGAAAAATGATCCAAAAATAAAAATAAAAGTCACTCAAAGGGCATGTTCGGTACAAAGCGTTTGAGAGCTTCTAGTTTTAGTATTTGACAAAACGCTTCGTTTTAAAACAGAAAGTCTCGTTTGACACTACAAACTTCTAGCGTTTAGTTTAAACAAAACGTTTTAAATCCAAATGATACTTCATCTACCGTTTAACAAAACGCTACAAACTACAAGCTATTCGCTGTTAGCTAATTTTGCCGAATACATCCAAAGTGTTTTAGCCTAATAAGTCATAGTAATCAATTTGATAATGTCTTATGGTTTAATTTAGAACAAAAATAAGGTATTAATAAGTAACCGCAAAAAGCCTAAAACCTATGATAGTTTTATATTAGTTAACATGTATACAACATTTATACCCAATTTCCATATATATATATATATATATATATTATTGGAGACCATTTTAATTTTATGAGACTCTGAGACCAAATCTAAAAATAATTTTAAAATGCAAAATAAATGTAAAAATCCAAAAATTATTTTTTTAAATATTATTTTCGGAACTTGAATTAACTAAAAAAAATAAAAAATAATCCTGTTTTTTTTTTTTTGAAATATACGTGAAATATTCTAATAGAATATTACACTGCATATTCTAAAAAATAATTTTAAAATGCAAAATAAATGGAAAAATCTAAAAATTCTTTTTTTAAATATTATTTTCGGAACTTGAATTAACTAAATAATAATAATAATAATAATAAAATCCCATTTTTTTTTGAGAAATACGTGAAATATTTTAATAGAATATTACACTGTATATATTCTAAAAAATAATTTTAAAATGCAAAATAAATGGAAAAATCCAAAAATTCTTTTTTTAAATATTATTTTCGGAACTTGAATTAACTAAAAAAAATAAAAAGAACTAAAAAAATACGTCTCACGGTCTCACAAAATTAGGCCGTCTCACATGAACCTAACCCTATATATATATATATATATATGGAAAAATTCAATAGAGAACCATAATTATTAGTTCTTCAAGTAACGAAATCTTTTTTTAAATTTCTAGAGCTTATTCTTTATTGAAAAAAAACTCTAAAAATATCTAAATTCATATATTAACATTATGAATGTGAAAAATATTTTCGGATTCACCGTGTGAATCCGGATTCACCGTGTGAATCCGGATTCACGTTGTGAATTTTCAAAAATTCACATTGTGAAATTGACGTAAAAAAAATCGAATTTGATATAATTGGAAAAAGGATAAAAAGTTATGAATTTCTGTATTTTTAGTTTTTTTTATATAAAAACTAAGTTTTAAAAGTTGAAAAAAAGATTGGTTCGTTGGTTAATTATGGTTCTCTATTGAACTTCACCCTATATATATATATATATATATATATATATATATATATATATATATATATATATATATATATATATATATATATATATATATATATATATATATATATATATATATATATGGAGTGGTTTAAATGAGAGCCTAAAAAATGTTAAAAACCCTAAAAACCATTTTTAAAAAAAAATCATTATGGACATTTTGGACAAATCAAACAGTAATATTATATTAAGCAAACTTTTTTATTCCCTAGTTTACAGCTAGTTTTCATTGTTGTTAGACCGTCGCCGGACCACCCGCTGGACTAACATCAAATTCAATGACATTTTCTAGTTGTATTTACAGCTTAATAAAACAAACATATGTAAGTTTCAGTTCCTTGGTAATATTTTTTAATACATACCATTTTATTTTTGCAGCCAAACATACAATAGTTTAATAAAAAAAAATAGATTTATACCTTTACAAATCCTATTTTTCTCTTTTTGCTAAATTGTAGATTTCTTTAAAAAGAATATACCATATATATAATACATATTTACAGTTTAAAATATTATATTCACAGTTTAATAAACATATTAATTCACTAGTGGTTTAATTTTTTAATTCATATATTCATTCATATTTTAACACAAAATTTATATAATATACAACTTAATACAATCCATTTTTAGTTTAATACATAAATTCACAACATAATACAATACATTATACACAAATTCATAAATTCAAATAAGTCAAACCCAAACTCTACCACCGCCACCAACTACCAGACACCGCCATCAACTACATGTGCCACTTTCGTAGCTATCATTCCTTCCAAATCAGATCTTTATATAAAATAATGAATTCATAGCTTAAATATTAGATTCAGGGTTTAATAAATCAATTAATTTACTAATTAAGAGTTTAATGCAAAATAATTATAAAAACTAATATATTTTTGCATATTTGTACAACAAAAAATATATATATATATATATATATATATATACTCACAAAAATAAATACAACCATTCATACATTAGTCATAGTTTAGCATAAAATTCATTAAAAATTCACATATTAATACAATCAATTCATAGTTCGGTACATAAAATTTACAACTTAATATAAAAAATTCACAGTTTAATGCACAAAAATGATACATTCACAATCATATTCTCAACTTAAAGCTTACATATATACCTTTAGATCTATATGTTAGTGCTTCTTTCAAAGTTTATTTACACAAATCTTCACAATTTAAATTTTATATACTTTATTTAAAATTAGATAAATCAGATATGTATATAATGTTATTTTCATCTCATATGTCAAAAGCAAACAATGGATTCATAATAAATTCATAGCTTAATACAATCAATTCACACTTTAATATAGCCATCACAACTTAATACAATCAATTCACAACTTAATATAGTCAATTCACAGTTTAATACAGAAAATTCACAACTTAATACTATAAGTTCACAGTTTAATATACAAAAATTATACATTTACAACAATATTCTCAACTTTAAAGTTACATTTTAAGACTTCAATTTGTATTTTAATAAAGCATTATTTATAGCTTAAAAACACATCTGATTTTAATAAACAGTTTATGCAACCTTTCTAAAACATTTTTATAACCTTTTAAACTTTTTATATAATAAATTAAAAAATATGATATTTTTAGAACAATATAATATTCACAGGGTGCAAAAGCACAAGCGTAAGGACCTTGCCAATACATTTATTATAAAAAAGTTTATAATTAATTTTAAAATGATAAAAAAAAGTTTAAACGTTATAGTATTTATTTAGATGATATAAATAAGACAAAATTGCAAAACTGGTCCCCGTAGTATGCAAATTTTTGGGGTTTTAGTCCAAACAGTGATTTTTTTGGTTTCGTAGTCCTTTTGGAATGGTTTGTATGTGAAAATGGTCCCTCCGAAAATTGAAATGACTATAATACCCTTAGGGTATTTATTTTTCATTTTTCTTTCATTATTCTTAAAATTTTATATTTATTTATTTATTTTAACAATTAAAAAAATAAAAAAGGTCCCACCTCTCTCTCTCTCTCTCTCTGTGTGTGTGTGTGTGTGTGTGTGTGCAAATACAAACTCAAGAACACATATTCATATTCATGAACACACACTCAAGAACACATACACACTTCAACTACCGTCCGCCACTACCACCGTGTCCTTCACTTCCTTGTTCTGTAAATTGAATTTTTTGTTAACCTTCAGCATCTCCTTCTTCTCCACACACACGAAATCAAATATGATGAAGGATTTTCAGATGAATACCTTCAAGAAGAAAAAATCAGATCGAGTGTGTGGGTCTCCGATCTCTTCCTCGGATGACAAGCTCCTCCTGTTAAAGCAAGCCCTAACATCGCTGCCGCCTGGTAGGTCTTCTCTTTTAGCGAAGACAAGCTCAAGGAGATGATGATTTTCAGATCTGAGGACCTCGTTTTCAGATCCGAGTATCTCGTTTGCAGATCTGGTAGCGGTGACGAGCTTAAGGTTTTTTCTTCTCGGGTGGTGGTGGCAATGACGATGATGGAGCTGAAGATCTGGTTCGTCTTCTCCTGTATTTTTATGAAGATGGTGGCGATAATCAGAATCTTTGCATGAGAAAGGGGGTAGGGGAGACCGAGATCAAGATCAAAGTTCCGGTAAGCTTGATAATCAGAATTAGGGGTGCAAACGAGCCAAGCTACTCGTGAGCTACTCGAGATCGGATCGTTAAAAGCTCGACTCGAAATCGATTTTAACCGAGCCCGAGCCGAGCTCGAGCTTAATATTA